TTTTTAACAACATAAAACAAAAGTTTCTATTTCTAATGCCAATCAAGTAAGGTTTTAGTCATTTCTGTGCATAGTGTTTCAATTAGGTTCACTAATCCTTTTACATGTCATGTATGTGAATCAGAAATATTAGGCTTGGAGCATCAGATATGTGCTTATTTCACCCATATCTTTTGTGTAATTTCATTTCTTCTTTGGGAAGAACTAGAAAAAGTATTGTTGGGTAACCAATAAGAACCTATCATTTCTTTCTTTCTTTTTATTTATTTTATTGAACTATTATGCGTGAAGTCATTCCAGAGTGGTGAACGAAATTCACACACTTGGAATACGGAAGGGCTAAGAAAGGGATTTTATTTGTTAAAAAGCTTCAAGCTCTGCTAGGCCTGAAATGGAATTTTCTGTAGAAGCTGGACTTGTTTGGTATGTCTAGTTTATTGGTGGTGAATCAATCCATGTACACATTTTCAAACAAGCATTTGGTTGTAAAATAACCAAAGCTTTTTAACATTTCCCCCACACTTAGCCATGCTTTATTTCTATGATATAACTTTCTCTTACAAGTATTCCGACAATTTATGGAGCCAATTGGTTGAGTATCGTGTATTTTGTGCCACCTTTACTTTCTTTTTAGGGGACTGAACTGATTAACATATGGTGTTATGCATGTGGAAATCACAAGAAGGGCTCTACAGGCCACTGTTTTCCAAGTCTCTGACAGAGGTGTTTGTTAGTTTTCTTACAAGTGTTTGGCACATTAACATTACGACTTATGAGTTATGACCATCTTGGCATGGAGAGCATTCCAAAGGTTGTTAAAAAATACGGTACACATCAAAACAAGTGAAAAGAATTATTTGCTTCTCAGGTTCAAGATTGAGAGCAGCCACTTTGTAGAATTTGATGTCAAATGTTAGAACTCACTGGGTAGGCGAGACATACACTAGATAATGCACGTGGGCTTTAAAGAAAGAACAACTAAATTGAAGATTTATCTGGATGAAATTGACAATGGAAGGACAAGTTAGAAGTTCAAAAATGAAATTATAATTCTAGTGTAATTGCAATTCTGCCCATATAGAAATTTGAATCAAAATTGATGGTTTTAATTTGAGTATCCTATAGCAAGCAGAAGCTTAAGAATCTGAGTTCGGTGCATTTGAGGAATGTTATTTCATACAGGGATGTGGCAGTAACTTCACTCCTAACTACACCTGTTGTTCTAAGTGTTTTGGGGATTTAAAAACACTCTCTTCCCACATGTGGGCTGTATCTTCTAACTGCTTTCCCAGTGGCTTCAGCCCTCTAGTTCCGAGGTTGCGGATTTTATTTCTGGTATCGGATAATTCAAAATTAATGGAAGCATTGATGAAGTCCATTTACATTCTCAGTGAAATGCGATTTAAATATCGAATTCATGCATATGGCTGAAGAGGAACAGGTTGAGACATACATATACGACTATTTGTAGACAATAAAGAGGAATAGTATATTCAGCCCGTCTTTTGCATTAGTGTCTGCCTCGTAATTAGAATTGTTTGAAGCCATAGAGCAAGCAGATAGAACAAGAGACAATGGGATCGAGGATTTCAGTATGTTTTATTGTTCAACCTAGAATGTTTTATTGTTCAACCTAGCTAGCTTCTATATGAAATTGGAGGATAGATTAGCAGCTTGTACGTATATGCTGGATGGAAAAGGAGTGTGTGTTATGGTTAATGCACATATAAATGATAGATTAGGAGATTCTTTTGGAGGAAGAAACTGTGGAGCAATTGGTGCTCTCAGTTGTTGGAGAGCTGGCTGTGGCGTATTCTGTGAAATTGTGGTATGGGTGGTGGAATAAACAACTGATTTACTGTAGTCTTATCTGGAAATAAATTAACTAGAGGAGGGTGAAGTGTTATGTAGTTGAGATTGCACTTGTGGAAATGTGGACCCAAAAGAGTGTGTAGATGTAAGAAAATTCGCCTTCTATTGATGGAAAGTTTTTCTCTTACACCAAACACTCTGCCTCCTTCCTTTTTCTTCCTTCTTATTTATAGTACATTACGTGTTACCCTAATTTACTTTTCATGACTTTACTTTTTGAAAATTTATACTTTGGGACTTATAGAAATAGCTAGGTTAGTTTAATCAATTGGTAAATTAAAATAGCTCCTGTGTGCCAAACATATAGTTTTTTGTAATGATAAGATGGGATAAGATGTTTGTACCACAATTTTCACAATTTAATCTTGGGTCAAAAGACTCAAAACAATAGTTAATCACTGAGTACCCCAAACTTATTGATGTATATTGAGGACAATGTTGAACAAACATGCTGACAATATATTGATATGAAGTTCATCTATATACTGATTATGAAAAAAAAAACAAACTAAAATGCACAAAAGACGACAAAATATGTTGAGCAAACATTTCGATACTGTAACTATCGGTCCTTCCACACTGTAACTGAGCTGGATGGTTCTAGGGAGGTGTTGTTAGGGTTGACAACAGCTGAGAGACATTGTGCATGGTCGGCTGGATTGTGGATTGACATTTAAACATGCAATGGCCATGTTTATAATTGATATTAACACTTCCTGACGTTCGCTTGAGGGAAGTGAAAGGCGTTCTTCCAACACATCTTTCAACATTATGTTCGGATCCAGAGATGAAGATGATAGCGAGGTGATGAAATTGCCTGGATGCTTTCCTTTCATCACTTCCAGTGTCAATACCCCAAAGCTATACACATCGCACTTCTCAGTTACCTTCATTGTGAAAGCAAACTCTGCAAAGAAAAGTAAAATATGATCATGTATAACTGATCTACGGTACTATATTTATCAAATTAGTTAGAATAACACAAAGCTACAGTTACCTGGTGCAACATATCCATAAGTGCCTGCAAGTGTGCTCCAATTTGAGGAGTCTAGCTTCAAAAGCTTAGCTGTGCCAAAATCTGAAACATGTGCCTCATACTCGATGTCCAACAAAATATTGTTGCTTGATAGGTCCCTATGAACAACTGGTGGTGAGCAATCATGGTACATGTAAGAAACTGCATGAGCCACCCCCTTAATGATATTCACCCTTTTGGGCCAATCCAGATTTTCAGCCTCTGCATCTCTACCCAGTATCATGGCTAAGCTACCCCTTTCAAAGTACTCATAAACCAAAAATGAGTGTTGAGCATGTGAACAGAAACCAAAAAGCTTTACAATGTTCCTATGTCGTACTTCTGCCAATACCCTTACCTCGTTCAAAAACCCTTTATTGTCTGTTGTCTCCGATAATGGGTGAAGTTTCTTCACAGCCACTATATTGTCGGGTGGCAATTTTGCTTTGTAGACTGTTCCACATCCTCCTTTCCCAATGCAATGTGAGGCATCAAAATTGTTGGTGGCTTTTAAGATTTCATCATACATTGCTCTTCCATCAAATTTCGAAATTGAAAACAAATTGTTTTCATCCTGGAAATCGCCTTGTTCAATCGGTGTTTTACCTGTTTGTCTTTCAAACATGATGAGGAGTCCAATGAATGCACCAAGAAGTAAAAGTGCTCCCACAAGAAGTAATACAATTATAAGAACTAGAACGAGTTTGTGGCTTTTTTTCACAATGTGTTGGGCATTTTTGCAAGGTTTCAGTCCTGTAAAATTGCCACACAAACCGTCGTTTCCTTGTAACGCCTCTATGGTAGCATTTCTGAAGGCATCATTGCTGGGAATGGGGCCTTGAAACCCATTGTAGGATATATCAACATACATCAACCCATGCATTTCTTCAAAAGCCTTTGGAAGGAAACCAGAGAGGTTATTGTGGGAGAGATTTAGCACCTCCAAACTCTGTATATTTTCAATTAGCAATGATATCTCTCCCATAAGATAATTATGGCTCAAGTCTAGCTCGGACAGTTGAGCTAACTTGTACGTCTCAAGTGGAATTTTTTGGCTAAAACGGTTGTAGCTCAAGTTCAAGTGATGCACCTGCAAACAATTTCCTAGACTTCCTGGTATTGACCCACTCAATCTGTTTATGGACAGGTCAAGATAGGACAGGTGAGCTAGTGATCCGAGTTCTCTAGGTATACCACCAGAAAGTCGATTATCTTTCAAATCAAGCTTTCGCAAATCCAACTTCCCTAGTTCCTTTGGAATATCCCCAGCTAATTGATTCAAAGAAAGATCAATTAGGTGAAGTTGAGATAAATTTCCCAACTCTGGTGGTATTCGTCCCGTGATACTATTCCTTGCCATCCTTAGGTCAGTTAATTGTGGGCACTGTACCCAACTATAAGAGATTTCACCAAAAAAACTATTGTTACTTAAATCTAGGAAATGAAGATTTGGATAGACACCAAAAACTTTAGACACATCTCCAGTGAGCTGGTTTCCATCAAGGCGCATTCTGAATAAGCTGGAACAGTTTCTCAAGCTTTTGGGGATTGGACCGGTAAGCTGGTTATTGTTTACCGTGAAATTTTCCAGTTTTCCGCTTTGGCAAATATTTTTAGTCAAATAGCCAGAAAAGTGATTCTCATCCATTTCCAGTACGGCCAACTTCTCTAGAATCCCAATTTCTTTTGGAATGGGACCGGAGAGTTGGTTGCTACGGAGGAACAAAAACTCCAAGTTGCTCAAATTTCCAAATGAAGCAGGAATTGAACCATTGAATCGGTTTACACTGAGTTTTAGATCTTGGAGAGACTTTAACTTCCCTAATTCTATAGGAATGGGACCGGAGAGTTGATTTTCAAAGAGAAGTAGTTCAGTCAGGGAGCTTAAATCACCTAAGGATGCTGGGACTGAGCCAGAAAGATTGTTTGTATAAAGGATCAGACTCTCAAGCGATTTCAGGTTTCCTATCTCTGGGGGAATGGGATGAGAGAGCTGATTTTGGAATACGTACAACGAAGTTAGCTTATTCAAGTTCTCGAAAGTGGAAGGAATGGGACCTGTGAGAAGGTTGGTATCCATGTCAAGCTCGACAAGATTGAAGAGATTTCATATTTATGAAGGAATGGAACCGGGGGGTTTGTTTTCATAGAGATACAAATAAGCCAAGTTGCTCAAACTGCCCAAAGAAGCGGGAATGGGACCCTCGAGATTGTTTGTGTACAAAGCAAGCTCATAAAGGGACTTTAGATTGCCTATTTCTTTAGGAATTGAGCCATTTAACTGATTTTGGAACAGGTGGAGGACCTGAAGATTTGTCAGATTTCCGATTTGTGGTGGGATTATTCCGGAAAACTGATTGATGGCCAAATCAAAATAGATGAGTTTTGAGAGTTTACCAACTTGAGGTGGGATGGCACCAGAAAGAACATTCATGCTGAGATCAATATATGCAAGATGAGGGAGGGACGAAAATGGAAAATCATAGAGCGTACCTTCAACGCTTGAATTTTTGAGGTTCAGTCTCCTGACACTTCCATGAATACTGCAAGAAACTCCGGACCAAGTGCATGGGATAACACTTGTTTTTGGATGGCTTGAAGAAACTGTGGCATTATAATTAGATGGAAAAATCCACGAATTTAGCATAGAATTGTTTTGGTGTTGAAGGCTGTCTTTCCATTTGAGGAGAGCTTTAGCTTCTTGAACAGAAGCAGAAGCTGAATTGGGCGAAGACAACACAAGAAACAAGACTATGGAAACAAATGAGAGGAACTTCTCTAAGGTTGGAGACCCTATGGTTTATGTTTGATATGTAGCAATGCTGGTTTAAAGCTCTTATGCTACGTTTGGTGTGCAGGAATGGAATGGAATGCTCATTCCAACCATTCGTTTGTTTGGTGTGCAGGAATGGAATGGAATGACCATTCCAATGGAATGAAAATCCAATCCAGGGAATGAAAATCCATTCCATTATTAAACCTATAGAATGGCCATTCCATTCCATAGTAAGATTAAAGTTTTTTGTAATATTCCCAATAAACCCTTCATCACATTCCAATAAGGCAAAAATATTTCGCATAGGCCAAAAATCTTTCACATTCTATTTTTCACATTTCTCGAGATTCTTTATTAGACGTGGTAAAGGTCTTTCACCTTCCCCCTCTTCCGAATATACACAGAGCTACCGATAAAAAGTTGTAGAACCTTCAACCAAATTGCAGGTATTAATCTCAATATCTTTTTTTTTTTTTTTTTTTGATAAGTATGTATTAATCTCTTTATCTTCTGAGTATATCACTTTTTTATTTATTTATTTATTTTTTTTTTGTATCTTTGTGTTGAAACGTTTGTGTGATTTTTCCATCTTTCTCTCTTTGAACATTTGCGTATGAAGCAACGATTACATAAAATAAAAATTAATAATCACATAAAATAAAAATTAATAATCATCTGGAGCCAAAAGTGGACTTATTTGACTTTTTGACCCCTAGTCAAGTTCATGTTAGATGATTGGAGAACCTTGCTTTTGAATTTTATCAAAACTAGAATTTTCAAAAAATCTACAAAAAAAACAATTTGAATGGAAAATCTAGCAAAATACCTATTGACCTACGACTTCAGTGCTCTAGTGGTTGATCTTTGTGACGGTAGAGAGGTTTATTAGCAAAATTCTTTAAATTGATTCCTTTCCAGAAGAGGCGTGTGATTGTTCTCTCTGCTATGGGAAAGACAACCAACAAGCTTTTACTGGTATTGGCCTATATCTTATTTTTGACTTTTCAGTTGATCTGTTACATGATTATATCCTTGCATGGTATTTTATTTTACTTGTTATAAAGAATATATATGTATTCTTTATTCATTCCTTCCAGCAAGTTCTTGTAGGTTATTGATGCTATTGATAATTATTGATCTGCAAAGATTTGAAAAATTTGTCACTCTATGACATCTATGTGTTTGTTTTCAAGTATTTGTCTGGCAGTTTGGCCTCTTTCCATGTGGCAAATGCAGCATCTCAAACCTAGGATATGTTGCAAATGGAGTGGTTTCTTTTTAGTTTATGTTTGACTTTAAAATTATACAAATTTGACAAAATCATCATTCAATTTCTATGTGTAATAAGTTACTGTATAGGCAATTTGGCCTTCATTGACAATGTTTGGAGTAAGAATTGCTTATTTAATTGACACGGAGAAGAAGAATTCTTTTGAAAATTTGTTGCTATCACATACTGTTTATCTTTGTGCTCCCATAATACACACACACACACACACACACGTACTATCAAATAAATAAATTTTAGTAGTGCCTTAGAGCTTTTACTACTAGAACTTGCAGCCTCTGTTAAATTTTAGCTTTAGTTGTTGAATAATTTGCTTTTTATTCTTATTTTTTGATCTATATTTAAGGTTTATAATATTGCATCTCATAATTAAGTTTAAATTTATGCAGTTATGGCTCGTCTAAGTTTAAGGACAAGGAAGATGATAAGGAAAAAGAAATTAGCAGCAATAAATGTATTTAGATTAAATATCTCATTAAAAATAATATTTTATTTTATTTAAAGTTTTTTCTTTATTTTTTTTCAATGGTAGTATTAGGCATCTTATAATATTCTATAATTCATCGTCAGAATTAAAAAGTAATGTAAGTCAATGAAAAGGGCATTTTTGAGAAAAATCATTCCATTCCAGCTTTGATAATAGTCAACCAAACAATAGAATGGTAATACTCATTCCATTCCATAACGATTTACCGTGTCACACCAAACATTAGAATGGTAATACTCATTCCATTCCATTCTTATTCTCATTCCATTCCAAGTTGCATTCCATTCCATTCCTGCACATCAAACGTAGCCTTATTTATATACATTTTATCCTACAGGTCTCATACTATTTTGGCTATAATTACTACAATACCATTGAATTGAAGTCAAGTTGGTGGTCCATTATCTTTGGACTCACTCACTCTGGAGAGAAAAAAGAGCCCATAGACGTAGAGGTATTTGTCTTTGTCCCTTTAAGTGTGTAAATTGGTCTTGGAGAAAAAAGAGTACATAGAAACTGAGGTCTTGGTCTTTGTCCCTTAAATTGAAATTTAGGGCACAATTTGATTAATTTTACTGTGTTATGGCATTTACACTTGTTGTATGTGTAGGGGTAAAGATGCAAACTACTTCTGAACTTTTTTCTGATGTGTTTTTTAAATGATTATGAAACTTAGTTTCTTCACCACAGCATTGGGCTTGATCTGATTCTATATGATGGAAGTAACTTTACAAAAGCATCATTGTTTGTTTTTTTGCAGCGTAAACTTAGGGTTTTGCTAAAGGCAATTAGAAAGTTGCGTGTAAATATGGGCATATATTGGTCTTTCTTGGTGATGCTTAACTTTGGAAATCCGAAGTCAGTGATGTGTAATATTTTGGCTATAACTACTTGAAGTCAACTTGGTGGTCCATTATTTTTTTATAAGTAAGATTGTATCAGAAAGCGTTCAAAAAAGGAAACGAGAAATTACACAAAAGCCAAAGGCTAGAGGGACCCTAAAGAACCCAAAAAATCAATCATTTCCTCCATAGATTTGCAATAATGCTCAATCAGGAGAGAGAAAAAGATAACTAATATAGATGCAGAGGTCCTGGTCTTGTCCTTAAAGAGGTATTTGATCTTGCTTTTTAGACTTAAAAAAGGCGTTATGACTTCACTGTCTTAAGGTATTAAATCTTGTTATATGGGTCGGACTAGGGTAAAGAAGCAAACTACTTCTGAACTTTTTTGGAATTTTTATCTTAATTATTATGTATTGGTAAACTTTGGTTCTTAGCCACAGCATTGGGCTTTGATCTGATGCAACAGCAAATTTTTTCAGTGTAAAGTGTAAACTCCGGTTTTGCTGAAGGCAACTAGAGAGGGGCTTTGGTAGTTTCTTGGCTGCTTTTATGGTATTTGGTACTAATGTTAATATCAGGCCGTTTAGACTTGGAGAGAAACTTTAATGCTCCAATAGTAATGATGACATAATATCACTTCATAGTTAAACAGACAAATAGTGATAGACTTGCCAAAATAGTTATATGCTTAGGGTCCGTTTGGCAATCACTTCTGTTTTGTGTTTTTTGCTTTTGCTAGTATACTGTAACGAAGTGAAAGCACGAAGCGTGTTTAGTAACGTTTCTTGCGATTTGAATAATACAGAAGTGCTTCCGAAAAAAGAGGCCAAAATCGGAAGCAAAAAATTGATGCTTCTAGTTGCTCCCGCTCTATAGCGAAAGCATTGTTCATTAAAAAAAAAGGGTCATTTTTAACTAGCCATTTAATATTTCAAATTTGCAATATTTTTACTAAACGTGATTTCATGTTTTTGTTTTTAAAATTCTTGCAACAAATATATGTTATCAAACAGGCTATCAAATAGTATTGAACACACTTTAAAATAGAAATTTTACTTCTACTTTGAGTTCAAGCAAAAACACAAACAGAAGCGCGGCTGTCAAACAAGTCCTTATTTAAGAGTGATTGATGAGATAATATTCCCAATGCAATGAAGAATTTCTCGTAGACTTGGGCATTGGGCTTTAAACATAATGCGTGTAGATTAGGATATTAGTCTTTAACATTATGATGTTGACTTGCATTGGAATTCAACATTATGGCGCGCGTAGACTTGGGCGTTGATTTGGGCGTTGATGGTTACAACCAACCATCAACCGCTCCATATTCCACTCCTTTCTACACTTCCAAATTTTATTTTATTTTTATTTTTAAATTTCTTTTTCAATTCTAGAGATCTAGAGTGGCACTAGGAATTTATTAATATCAAAATCTGTTTGACTGGCTAGGCTCATTTGATTAGATAAATAAATTAGGCAACATGATTCATCTAAATGCAAAGCCAATGTCAAACCAAATGACACCTACTTACAGAACCTCTGCATAATCATACCATTATGAAAAGTTACACAACTTGTGTATAATGAACAATCCGACCAAAAACAATAGTTACACAATAACATCTGTATAATGAACAACCCAACCAATATTAATATTATACTTAAATCAAATACATATCTCAATAGACAGTTTACACATTGTATTATTTATTTCAACTGCTTTCTGAAACAACAAGCCACTGATCAGCAAACATGTTGACAATGGGAAGCACAGTTTCGGAAAATTCACTCAATTTCAATCCCAATATAGCAGTTTTAGTACCATTTTAGTACCAAACAACAAGGCCATGCAAATAGAAGTAGAATTTCATAAAATGAACTCAATTTCAATATAGTAGAATTTCATAAACAGAAAACAACTTCAATAGAACCAGAAATCTAAAAATGTAAATTTTCTTACCTTTTTTCAAACTCAGTTGTAAAATTTAGAAAATGAACTCAATGTCAATCCCAATATAGCAGTTGTAGTACACATCAGCAAGGTCATGCAAATAGAAGTAGAATTTCAGAAAATTAACTCAAGTTGAATCCAATATAGCAGTTGTAGTACACATCAGCAAGGTCATGCAAATAGAAGTAGAATTTCAGAAAATGAACTCAATGTCAATATAGCACAATTTCATAAACTGAACACAACCTCAATAGAATTAGAAATCTAAAAATATAAATTTTATTACCTTTTTTCAAACTCAGTTGTATAATTTAGAAAATGAACTTAATGTCAATCCCATTATAGCAGTTTTAGTACACAGCAACTAGATTATGCAAATAGAAGTAGAATTTAAAAAAATTAACTTAATTTGAATCCCAATATAGCAGTTGTAGTACACAGCAGATAGGTCATTCAAATAGAAGTAGAATTTCAGAAAATGGACTCAATTTCAATCCCAATATATCAGTTGTAGTACAGAGCAACAAGGTCATGCAAATAGAAATAGAATTTCAGAAAATGAACTTAGACTCCCCTCATGCCTTGTGTAGATGCTTGAGTTAGTTGATAGCAGTTGGTTTCACCAGTTTTAACTACCTTGTAAGTTCAAATTCAAAAAATTTATCAACTCCCTATTTGAATTCAAACACAAGTAGTTGTCCAAATATAATCCATCTCGCGTGCAGATTACACACTTGAAAAGGAGTCTTAAAGAAATACTATTTAGGTGCCATCACCAACAATAACTCCTTATCTCTTATTCAACTAAGGCCACGTGGTTGAACACAAAATATTATGGTTAATTTCAATACCACCACCTAAGGTTTGGACAAATCAACCTATGTTCAGTAGCACTTAAATCAAGAGTCATTTTGACACTTGATTTGGTAAGAGCCCGTGTTGTGGAATGGTAGAAATGCAGAATAATTAATCAGCTATTCATTGGCACTTTACCAATTTCTCCAAAAACTATTGACCAGTTTATGCATTACATGTCCCGAATGCTTATGTTGAGGGTTGACCGGATACTGATTTCTTAAGCCTCCTTAGAATGGAAGGTCATAAGAGTAGTGAGCCACAGCATCAATCACATAGTTGTAATTTAAGTACTGGACTAAAATTCATGTCATGTAGCTTTTTAACAAAACTGTGAGTGGCGTGCATGAATACTGGCTATGTATATATAAATCTAGCAAATTCAGATAATATCTAAACGGTGATGCCCTGTGTAGGAATTAGATATACCTATAATTGAACAAAAGATACATGTGTCAATTATAGGTTTTAAGCATTTGAATGCTTAGATTATACGTTATATATAGGAAAAACATGCCTCCCACTCCTATTACTCTATTGCTATCTGCAATTCACTAAAAATAGTAACATACTTTTAAATAGCTTATTTGTGTTTGGTAGAGAATGATATGATATTGTTCTTCTTGTATCAGTGCTTGCAATTTTTATTCAATATTTTGATTAATTTTGTTTTTTGTTGTTAGTGTGTTAGTTGTAAGAACACTTATAGGCATGCATTTATTGGTTCATCACCCCCCATGGACAAGGCTCATCCAGGTGATTGTCCAAGCAAAGTCATTTGATTATCCCAATATTTTTTCTTGTAGATCCATTAAGTGAGATAATTAGTTTTTAGGTGATCTAGGTAGTTCATGTAAGCTGTTTTTACGCACAAAGGTTAAGGAGGTCTAATATTAGATCTCTAACATTTATTTATTTATTTATTTTAACTTTTGTTTTTTATTTATTATAGAAAGCCACTACAGATATAAGACTATATGTTGGAGGGTTTTCATTGTTATTGAAATGTTGGAATTTGATTATAATCAATATTTGCAAACAGTACATTGTAGTCAACGGCTCCAACAACTTTAGCACCCATTTAAGAAAACTTAAGTATGACAGTAACTTAAGCTTGGAACTGTCTCTAAAAAGTTTTGAAATGGAAGAAAATAAGTTGTTGCAAGAAGAAAAAAAGTCAAAGTAATTAAAGAGTACCAAGTTAGAACTTATATTTTGGCCTTCATATTTATGACTCAAGCCATTTCTGTTAGTCTTAGAGACAAAACTTTAGGTGGTTGCTCTGGACCATGATTATGCTTGGAGATAGGCTAGAATTTGAGGAGTGCATACCTCACAGCTTTTGTATGCTTTAGTGATTTTGGTCCTTGCTTAGGCTTGGAGGTGGATCTTGCTTTGTGTTGGAAAGTTGGTGCCTTTTGTTGAACAAGTAAGGTTTAAATTGCAGAAATACAAGGTGCTAGAAGTTTCGGAGTCAAAATGCCATCACAGCTCTGTATGACAGATGTAACTTTTATTTTATGTCTAATATTTTTCTACCAAGTTTTCAGAATGGCTTAACTTGTGCTAGCAAGGAATCCACCATGCTATTTTTATAATTTAAAAGTCTATTCAAGTAAAATCTGAAGGCATCTCTATGGGACTTCTTTGTATGACAGATCATGCTTCTTCATGTTTATCTGGCATACGAACACCACATTAGACGGCATCTAGATGGCCTTCTTCCATCATAATAACTCTCCCTAATTCATTTATTCGTGTCCTTTTGATGCTCACTTGCCTGCATATTTTTCTTTGACTTGTGGGCAGTTTGGACAAAAGATTGTTGACGAAGAAGTTGGACATGGGTTGTGGAGTCAGCAGTGGTGGGGGACAGAGTTTGCTAGGTTACTTGTTTGGGAGTGGAGAGGCTCCAAAACCGGTCCCAAGTAATGCCCAAGCTGCTCCAAACGAAGAGCAGCCTACTGCCATTTCTCAACCAGTTGACGTTAACAAGCAGATTCCTGCACGCATACATAGTAACCCCGCAAACAACTACTTCCGGGCAGATGGCCAGAACAACGGCAATTTCATCACGGTATGTTCCAAATAGTGATTACGTTTTTTTTTTAACAAAAAACAAAAGTTTCTATTTCTAATGCCAATCAAGTAAGGTTTTAGTCATTTCTGTGCTAGTGTTTCAATTAGGTTCACTAATCCTTTTACATGTCATGTATGTGAATCAGAAATATTAGGCTTGGAGCATCAGATATGTGCTTATTTCACCCATATCTTTTGTGTAATTTCATTTCTTCTTTGGGAAGAACTAGAAAAAGTATGGTTGGGTAACCAATATGAACCTATCGTTTCTTTCTTTCTTTTTATTTATTTTATTGAACTATTATGCGTGAAGTCATTCCAGAGTGGTGAACGAAATTCACACACTTGGAATATGGAAGGGCTAAGAAAGGGATTTTATTTGTTAAAAAGCTTCAAGCTCTGCTAGGCCTGAAATGGAATTTTCTGTAGAAGCTGGACTTGTTTGGTATGTCTAGTTTATTGGTGGTAAATCAATCCATGTACACATTTTCAAACAAGCATTTGGTTGTAAAATAACCAAAGCTTTTTAACATTTCCCCCTCACTTAGCCATGCTTTATTTCTATGATTTAACTTTCTCTTACGAGTATTCCGACAATTTATGGAGCCAATTGGTTGAGAATCGTGTATTTTGTGCCACCTTTACATTCTTTTTAGGGGACTGAACTGATTAACATATGGTGTTATGCATGTGGAAATCACAAGAAGGGCTCTACTGGCCTCTGTTTTCCAAGTCTATGACAGAGGTGTTTGTTAGTTTTCTTACAAGTGTTTGGCACATTAACATTACGACTTATGCGTTATGACCATCTTGGCATGGAGAGCATTCCAAAGGTTGTTAAAAAATACGGTACACATCAAAACAAGTGAAAAGAATTATTTGCTTCTCAGGTTCAAGATTGAGAGCAGCCACTTTGTAGAATTTGATGTCAAATGTTAGAACTCACTGGGTAGGCGAGACATACACTAGATAATGCACATGGGCTTCAAAGAAAGAACAACTAAATTGAAGATTTATCTGGATGAAATTGACAATGGAAGGACAAGTTAGAAGTTCAAAAATGAAATTATAATTCTATTGTAATTGCAATTCTGCCCATATAGAAATTTGAATCAAAATTGATGGTTTTAATTTGAGTATCCTATAGCAAGCAGAAGCTTAAGAATCCGAGTTCAGTGCATTTGAGGAATGTTATTTCGTATAGGGATGTGGCAGTAACTTCACTCCTAACTACACCTGTTGTTCTAAGTGTTTTGGGGATATAAAAACACTCTCTTCCCACATGTGGGCTGTATCTTCTAACTGCTTTCCCAGTGGCTTCAGCCCTCTAGTTCCGAGGTTGCGGATTTTATTTCTATTATCGGATAATTCAAAATTAATGGAAGCATTGATGAAGTCCATTTACATTCTCAGTGAAGTGCAATTTAAATATCGAATTCATGCATATGGCTGAAGAGGAACAGGTTGAGACATACATATACGAGTGTTTGTAGACAATAAAGAGGAATAGTATATTCAGCCCGTCTTTTGCGTTAGTGTCTGCCTCGTAATTAGAATTGTTTGAAGCCATAGAGCAAGCAGATCGAACAAGAGACAATGGGATCGAGGATTTCAGTATGTTTTATTGTTCAACCTAGCTAGCTTCTATATGAAATTGGAGGATAGATTAGCAGCTTGTACGTATATGCTGGATGGAAAAGGAGTGTGTGTTATGGTTAATGCACATATAAATGATAGATTAGGAGATTCTTTTGGAGGAAGAAACTGTGGAGCAAATGGTGCTCTCAGTTGTTGGAGAGCTGGCTGTGGCGTATTCTGTGAAATTGTGGTATGGGTGGTGGAATAAACAACTGATTTACTGTAGTCTTATCTGGAAATAAATTAACTAGAGGAGGGTGAAGTGTTATGTAGTTGAGATTGCACTTGTGGAAATGTGGACCCAAAAGAGTGTGTAGATGTAAGAAAATTCGCCTTCTATTGATGGAAAGTTTTTCTCTTACACCAAACACTCTGCCTCCTTCCTTTTTCTTCCTTCTTATTTATAATACATTACGTGTTACCCTAACTTACTTTTCATGACTTTACTTTTTGAAAATTTATACTTTGGGACTTATTGAAATAGCTAGGTTAGTTTAATCAATTGTTAAATTAAAATAGCTCCAGTGTGACAAACATATAGTTTTTTGTAATGATAAGATGGGATAAGATGTTTGTACCACAATTTTCACAATTTAATCTTGGGTCAAAAGACTCAAAACAATAGTTAATCACTGAGTACCAATGTCCAAACTTATTGATGTCTATTGAGGACAATGTTGAACAAACATGCTGACAATATATTGATATGAAGTTCATCTATATACTGATTATGAAAAAAAACACACACTAAAATGCACAAAAGACGACAAAATATGTTGAGCAAACATTTCGATGCTGTAAGTAACTGTCCTTCCACACTGTGTAACTGAGCTGGATGGTTCTAGGGAGGTGTTGTTAGGGTTGACAACAGCTGAGAGACATTGTGCATGGTCGGCCTGGATTGTGGATTGACGTTTAAACATGCAATGGCCATGTTTATAATTGACATTAACACTTCTTGACGTTCGCTTGAGGGAAGTGAAAGGCGTTCGTCCAACACATCTTTCAACATTATGTTCGGATCCAGAGATGAAGATGATAGCGAGGTGATGAAATTGCCTGGATGCTTTCCTTTTATCACTTCCAGTGTCAATACCCCAAAGCTATACACATCGCACTTCTCAGTTACCTTCATTGTGAAAGCAAACTCTGCAAGTAAAAGTAAAATATGATCATGTATAACTGATCTACGGTACTATATTTATCAAATTAGTTAGAATAACACAAAGCTACAGTTACCTGGTGCAACATATCCATAAGTGCCTGCAAGTGTGCTCCAATTTGAGGAGTCTAGCTTCAAAAACTTAGCAGTGCCAAAATCTGAAACATGTGCCTCATACTCGATGTCCAACAAAATATTGTTGCTTGATAGGTCCCTATGAACAATTGGTGGTGAGCAATCGTGGTGCATGTAAGAAACTGCATGAGCCACCCCCTTAATGATATTCACCCTTTTGGGCCAATCCAGATTTTCAGCCTCTGCATCTTTACCTAGTATCGTGGCTAAGCTACCCCTTTCAAAGTACTCATAAACCAAAAATGAGTGTTGAGCATGTGAACAGAAACCAAAAAGCTTTACAATGTTCCTATGTCGTACTTCTGTCAATGCCCTTACCTCGTTCAAAAACCCTTTATTGTCTGTTGTCCCTGATAATGGGTGAAGTTTCTTCACAGCCACTATATTGTCGGGTGGCAATTTTGCTTTGTAGACTGTTCCACATCCTCCTTTCCCAATGCAATGTGAGGCATCAAAATTGTTGGTGGCTTTTAAGATTTCATCATACATTGCTCTTCCATCAAATTTCGAAATTGAAAACAAATTGTTTTCATCCTGGAAATCGCCTTGTTCAATCGGTGTTTTACCTGTTCGTCTTTCAAACATGATGAGGAGTCCAATGAATGCACCAAGAAGTAAAAGTGCTCCCACAAGCGGTAATACAATTATAAGAACTAGAACGAGTTTGTGGCTTTTTTTCACAATGTGTTGGGCATTTTTGCAAGGTTTCAGTCCTGTAAAATTGCCACACAAACCGTCGTTCCCTTGTAATGCCTCTATGGTAGCATTTCTGAAGGCATCGTTGCTGGGAATGGGACCTTGAAACCCATTGTAGGATATATCAACATACATCAACCCATTCATTTCTTCAAAAGCCTTTGGAAGGAAACCAGAGAGGTTATTGTGGGAGAGATTTAGCACCTCCAAACTCTGCAAATTTTCAATTTGCAATGATATTTCTCCCATGAGAAAATTATGGCTCAAATCTAGCTCGGACAGTTGAGCTAACTTGTACATCTCAAGTGGAATTTTTTGGCTAAAACGGTTGTAGCTCAAGTTCAAGTGATACACCTGCAAACAATTTCCTAGACTTTCTGGTATTGACCCACTCAATCTGTTTATGGACAGGTCAAGATAGGACAGGTGAGCTAGTGATCCGAGTTCTCTAGGTATACCACCAGAAAGTTGATTATCTTTCAAATCAAGCTTTAACAAATCCAACTTCCCTAGTTCCTTTGGAATATCCCCAGCTAATTGATTCAAAGAAAGATCAATTAGCTGAAGTTGAGATAAATTTCCCAACTCTGGTGGTATTCGTCCCGTGATACTATTCCTTGCCATCCTTAGGTTAGTTAATTGTGGGCACTGTACCCAACTATAAGAGATTTCACCAAAAAAACTGTTGTTACTTAAATCTAGGAAATGAAGATTTGGATAGACACCAAAAACTTTAGACACATCTCCAGTGAGCTGGTTTCCTTCAAGGCGCATTCTGAATAAGCTGGAACAGTTTCTCAAGCTTTTGGGGATTGGACCGGTAAGCTGGTTATTGTCTACCGTGAAATTTTCCAGTTTTCCGCTTTGGCAAATATTTTCAGGCAAATAGCCAGAAAAGTGATTCTCATCCATTTCCAGTACAGCCAACTTCTCTAGAATCCCAATTTCTTTTGGAATGGGACCGGAGAGTTGGTTGTTACGGAGGAACAAAAACTCCAAGTTGGTCAAATTTCCAAATGAAGCAGGAATTGAACCATTGAATCGGTTTTCACTGAGTTCTAGATCTTGAAGAGACTTTAACTTCCCTAATTCTATAGGAATGGGACCGGAGAGTTGATTTTCAAAGAGAAGTAGTTCAGTCAGGGAGCTTAAATCACCTAAGGATGCTGGGACTGAGCCAGAAAGATTGTTTGTATAAAGGATCAGACTCTCAAGCGATTTCAGGTCTCCTATCTCTGGGGGAATGGGATGAGAGAGCTGATTTTGGAATAGGTACAACGAAGTTAGCTTATTCAAGTTCTCGAAAGTGGAAGGAATGGGACCTGTGAGAAGGTTGGTATCCATGTCAAGCTCGACAAGATTGAATAGATTTCCTATTTCTGAAGGAATGGAACCGGAGAGTTTGTTTTCATAGAGATACAAATAAGCCAAGTTGCTCAAACTACCCAAAGAAGCGGGAATGGGACCCTCGAGATTGTTTGTGTACAAAGCAAGCTCATAAAGGGACTTTAGATTGCCTATTTCTTTAGGAATTGAGCCATTTAACTGATTTTGGAACAGGTGGAGGACCTGAAGATTTGTCAGATTTCCGATTTGTGGTGGGATTAGTCCGGAAAACTGATTGATGGCCAAATCAAAATAGATGAGTTTTGAGAGTTTACCAACTTGAGGTGGGATGGTACCATTAAGAACATTCATGCTGAGATCAATATATGCAAGATGAGGGAGGGACGAAAATGGAAAATCATAGAGCGTACCTTCAACACTTGAATTTGTGAGGTTCAGTCTCCTGACACTTCCATGAATACTGCAAGAAACTCCGGACCAAGTGCATGGGATGACACTTGTTTTTGGATGGCTTGAAGAAACTGTGGCATTATAATTAGATGGAAAAATCCATGAATTTAGCACAGAATTGTTTTGGTGTTGAAGGCTGTCTTTCCATTTGAGGAGAGCTTTAGCTTCTTGAACAGAAGCAGAAGCTGAATTGGGCGAAGATAACACAAGAAACAAGACTAAGGAAACAAATGATAGGAACTTCTCTAAGGTTGGAGACCCCATGGTTTATGTTTGATATGCAGCAATGCTGGTTTAAAGCTCTTATTTATATACATTTTATCCTACAGGTCTCATACTATTTTGGCTATAATTACTACAATACCATTGAATTGAAGTCAAGTTGGTGGTCCATTATCTTTGGACTCACTCACTCTGGAGAGAAAAAAGAGCCCATAGACGTAGAGGTATTTGTCTTTGTCCCTTTAAGTGTGTAAATTGGTCTTGGAGAAAAAAGAGTACATAGAAACTGAGGTCTTGGTCTTTGTCCCTTAAATTGAAATTTAGGGCACAATTTGATTAATTTTACTGTGTTATGGCATTTACACTTGTTGTATGTGTAGGGGTAAAGATGCAAACTACTTCTGAACTTTTTTCTGATGTGTTTTTTAAATGATTATGAAACTTAGTTTCTTCACCACAGCATTGGGCTTGATCTGATTCTATATGATGGAAGTAACTTTACAAAAGCATCATTGTTTGTTTTTTTGCAGCGTAAACTTAGGGTTTTGCTAAAGGCAATTAGAAAGTTGCGTGTAAATATGGGCATATATTGGTCTTTCTTGGTGATGCTTAACTTTGGAAATCCGAAGTCAGTGATGTGTAATATTTTGGCTATAACTACTTGAAGTCAACTTGGTGGTCCATTATTTTTTTATAAGTAAGATTGTATCAGAAAGCGTTCAAAAAAGGAAACGAGAAATTACACAAAAGCCAAAGGCTAGAGGGACCCTAAAGAACCCAAAAAATCAATCATTTCCTCCATAGATTTGCAATAATGCTCAATCAGGAGAGAGAAAAAGATAACTAATATAGATGCAGAGGTCCTGGTCTTGTCCTTAAAGAGGTATTTGATCTTGCTTTTTAGACTTAAAAAAGGCGTTATGACTTCACTGTCTTAAGGTATTAAATCTTGTTATATGGGTCGGACTAGGGTAAAGAAGCAAACTACTTCTGAACTTTTTTGGAATTTTTATCTTAATTATTATGTATTGGTAAACTTTGGTTCTTAGCCACAGCATTGGGCTTTGATCTGATGCAACAGCAAATTTTTTCAGTGTAAAGTGTAAACTCCGGTTTTGCTGAAGGCAACTAGAGAGGGGCTTTGGTAGTTTCTTGGCTGCTTTTATGGTATTTGGTACTAATGTTAATATCAGGCCGTTTAGACTTGGAGAGAAACTTTAATGCTCCAATAGTAATGATGACATAATATCACTTCATAGTTAAACAGACAAATAGTGATAGACTTGCCAAAATAGTTATATGCTTAGGGTCCGTTTGGCAATCACTTCTGTTTTGTGTTTTTTGCTTTTGCTAGTATACTGTAACGAAGTGAAAGCACGAAGCGTGTTTAGTAAAGTTTCTTGCGATTTGAATAATACAGAAGTGCTTCCGAAAAAAGAGGCCAAAATCGGAAGCAAAAAATTGATGCTTCTAGTTGCTCCCGCTCTATAGCGAAAGCATTGTTCATTAAAAAAAAAGGGTCATTTTTAACTAGCCATTTAATATTTCAAATTTGCAATATTTTTACTAAACGTGATTTCATGTTTTTGTTTTTAAAATTCTTGCAACAAATATATGTTATCAAACAGGCTATCAAATAGTATTGAACACACTTTAAAATAGAAATTTTACTTCTACTTTGAGTTCAAGCAAAAACACAAACAGAAGCGCGGCTGTCAAACAAGTCCTTATTTAAGAGTGATTGATGAGATAATATTCCCAATGCAATGAAGAATTTCTCGTAGACTTGGGCATTGGGCTTTAAACATAATGCGTGTAGATTAGGATATTAGTCTTTAACATTATGATGTTGACTTGCATTGGAATTCAACATTATGGCGCGTAGACTTGGGCGTTGATTTGGGCGTTGATGGTTACAACCAACCATCAACCGCTCCATATTCCACTCCTTTCTACACTTCCAAATTTTATTTTATTTTTATTTTTAAATTTCTTTTTCAATTCTAGAGATCTAGAGTGGCACTAGGAATTTATTAATATCAAAATCTGTTTGACTGGCTAGGCTCATTTGATTAGATAAATAAATTAGACAACATGATTCAACTAAATGCAAAGCCAATGTCAAACCAAATGACACCTACTTACAGAACCTCTGCATAATCATACCATTATGAAAAGTTACACAACTTGTGTATAATGAACAATCCGACCAAAAACAATAGTTACACAATAACATCTGTATAATGAACAACCCAACCAATATTAATATTATACTTAAATCAAATACATATCTCAATAGACAGTTTACACACTGTATTATTTATTTCAACTGCTTTCTGAAACAAGAAGCCACTGATCAGCAAACATGTTGACAATGGGAAGCACAGTTTCGGAAAATTCACTCAATTTCAATCCCAATGTAGTACAAAACAAGGAGGACACGCCAATAGAAGTAGAATTTCATAAAATGAACTCAATTTCAATATAGTAGAATTTCAGAAACTGAACACAACTTCAATAGAACCAGAAATCGAAAAATGTAAATTTTCTTACCTTTTTTCAAACTCAGTTGTAAAATTTAGAAAATGAACTCAATGTCATTCCCAATATAGCTGCACAGCAATAAGGTCATGCAAATAGAAGTAGAATTTAAAAAAATGAACTCAATGTCAATATTAGTAGAATTTCATAAACTGAACATAACCTCAATGGAACCAGAAATCTAAAAATGTAAATTTTCTGATCGTTTTTCAAACTCAGTTGTAAAGTTCAGAAAATGAACTCAATGTCAATCCAAATATAGCAGTTGTAGTACACATCAAGAAGGTCATGCAAATAGAAGTAGAATTTCATAAAATGAACTCAATGTCAATATAGTAGAATTTCATAAACTGAACATAACTTCAATGGAACCAGAAATCTAAAAATGTAAATTTTCTTGACTTTTAACAAACTCAGTTGTAAATTTTAGAAAATGAACTCAATGTCAATATAGTAGAATTTCATAAACTGAACATAAATTCAATAGAACTAAAAATCTAAAAATGTAAATTTTCTTACCTTTTTTCAAACTCAGTTGTTAAATTTAGAAAATGAACTCAATGTCAATCCCAATATAGCAGTTGTACTACACAATAGTAAGGTAATACAAATATAAGTCTAATGTTAGAAAATGAACTCAATGTCAATATAGTAGAATTTCATAAACTAAACATAAATTCAATGGAACTGGAAATCTAAAAATGTAAATTTTCTTACCTTTTTTCAAACTGAGTTCTAAAATTCAAAAAATGAACTCAATGTCAATCCCAACATAGCAGTTGCAGCACACATCAATAAGTCATGCAAATAGAAGTAGAATTTCAGAAAATGAACTCAATATCAATATAATAGAATTTCAGAAATTGGACATAACTTCAGTAATGCCAGAAATCTAAAAATGTAAATTTTCTTAACTTTTTTCAAACTCAATTGTAAAATTCATAAAATGAACTCAATATCAATCCTAATATAGAAGTTGTAGTACGGAGCACCAAGGTCATGCAAATAGAAGTAGAATTTCAGAAAATGAACTCAATGTCAATATAGCACAATTTCATAAACTGAACACAACCTCAATAGAATTAGAAATCTAAAAATATAAATTTTATTACCTTTTTTCAAACTCAGTGGTATAATTTAGAAAATGAACTTAATGTCAATCCCATTATAGCAGTTTTAGTACACAGCAACAAGATTATGCAAATAGAAGTAGAATTTAAAAAAATTAACTTAATTTGAATCCCAATATAGCAGTTGTAGTACACAGCAGATAGGTCATTCAAATAGAAGTAGAATTTCAGAAAATGGACTCAATTTCAATCCCAATATATCAGTTGTAGTACAGAGCAACAAGGTCATGCAAATAGAAATAGAATTTCAGAAAATGAACTTAGACTCCCCTCATGCCTTGTATAGATGCTTGAGTTAGTTGATAGCAGTTGGTTTCACCAGTTTTAACTACCTTGTAAGTTCAAATTCAAAAAAATTATCGACTCCCTATTTGAATTCAAACACAAGTAGTTGTCCAAATATAATCCATCTCGCGTGCAGATTACACACTTGAAAAGGAGTCTTAAAGAAATACTATTTAGGTGCCATCACCGACAATAACTCCTTATCTCTTATTCAACTAATGCCACATGGTTGAACACAAAATATTATGGTTAATTTCAATACCACCACCTAAGGTTTGGACAAATCTCACATGGAGACACTGGCATCCATAATAATACGACTGTTTCAGCATCTAATGGATTTATATAATGTACATTCCTATTTACACTAATATACATTACAAAGTTTGCTACAAAATAGTGATTAAAACTACATATTACAAAAATAATAATACGAAGTGACAATAATGGAGATGCATGAAAGTTATTCACCTGCTTTAATGCCTTCGCCATTACAGCGTCTTGATCCTTAAGAATCGTCTTAGGCGCTTTTTCGCCCATCGCTTTCAAGAACGTGTCAAATAACCAGACAAAGGAATCTGTTGTCTTATCATACATTAAGGCTGCTCCAAACACAGCAGTCTCCCGGTGATGATTCATACCCAAGAAAATTGCAAATAGATGGTTACTGTGTACCACTTTGTACGTTGTGTCAAAAATGATAACATCTCCAAAATGGCCATAATCAATGACCATTCTAGAATCTGACCAAAATATGTTCGTAATCATTTGATCAGTATCCAATTGTAAGGAATAAAAGAATGATCTTCACAAGCATGCATCTCAAAATAATCCATAAGCCATCCCGCCTTTCATAAAGAAGCTCTTTTTGTCTTCGGGCCCATAGATAATTTTTAAAATCCACTTTCAAGTACCCAATTGATTCTTTGCCACCATCTTGCCTTCCCATCAACTCACATGCATTACGAGCCGCAACTCCTGAATCTGAAGCCAACTCAAAATTGATGGCCTGGACTGAGGAAATTCGTCGTTGGGATGGCATCATGTGGCTGCATTCAACATTTATGAATGGATGGTTGTGAGTTTCTACAAAATTAGAAACTAAGTACTTTGCCTTAGTATTGTCATATCTAATAAGCATTCATACATCGCAATTGGTTCGTGTTTCAGACCGGGGAATCTTTCTAAATACATCCCATTTGTCAGACCCCCTAACACCTTCCTTGCTACAAACTAACAACCTTGATGTAATTCTTCCATTAACTTTATTACCATAATCCTTCCGGATGCTAAAACCAACTCGAGCACCATATGCATTGAAAAAATCATATGCCTCTTCTTCACTATCAAACTCCATAGCAAACCTTGGTTTCCATTTAATGACTTCCGGTTCTACAACAGGAATGTTTGGTCTATTTGTTGTGTGTAAAATATTATTTACTTCACCTTCCATCTAAACGGCTCAAATACAAAACCTTTTCACATATACACAATATTGAACTAACAAAAAAAATTTC